AATTCCAGCTCTTTATGTATGTGTCCTGTGTAAATATAAAAAATGTATAAATAAATGTTCCTTATGTAAATATACCGTATCTGACATTTTTCTTTCTTCAGTGTCTTATATTTATTTCTGGATTATTGTTTTTTTCATAATGCTTGTTGAGTTTTTATAATGACTTCGTGAGTTCACAGTGACGTGTCATGCAAGAGTCAAAATAGGAAGCAAGTTATGAGTACAATTGAATGAAATTAAGCTGATTATGATTTTAACGATCATAATAAATTATCGATTTAACTATTTATAACCGTGAAGCTCGAGTTAGAAGTACTGAGATCAGTGGATAGAAGGCAAAACGCCATCTGGTGGAATTTTATTGAAGAGCCCTGTTGTAAAAAGAGGTGGATGGACCAGCTTGTAAGAAAAGTAAATACACATGTAAAAAAAAAATTAAAAATAAAGACATTACATGACCACGGTTTAAAACACAATTACAGGTCTACTTTTAGCAGCGTGACTTAAATGTTAATTATGCAGAACATCAAAATAAATGTATAATAGATTTTATATAATACGTTTTCTTCTTATCTCTATTTCTAATAACCAATGTGATTCAGAATAAAATGAATAACACGATCTAGAAACAACGCCGTCATCAGTGCGCGCGTGACGCGCATTGTTACTGTTGTTATAGCAACGGCAACTAAACCAGAGCGCGCTTTCGGTTGCTACAATGAACGTCTAAATAGTTTTCCATACAAATTACAAACTTGTATTATGTAGTAATTCCCACCCAAAGAAGAACAAAAATGCCTCACGATGACCCCCGAGTGGAGTGGATTAAAAACGCAGTATGTGTGATGTTTGACTTGCCTGATTCAGGCTGCTTTGAGGAGTTACTCAGTCGCGGTGATGGAGAGGAAGAGCAGAAAATCATACACTTTTTAAACGTAGTCACGGGGGAAGAGGCGCCCTCAGCGCTGTTTTTCTTCAAGAATATACGAGAAGAAGAGGTTGAAGTGGAAATTCATGTTGGTACGTTTTCATGTCAACGCAAATGTATCTGTTGCTATTCACAATGTACCGTTGCTAACGACTTTCGCGTGCCTGAGATCTGAAGTTCAAAAGTCAAATATATCACTTTGCTCGCTTATTAATAAGAAGTCTTTAGGAAGGTCTACTATGTTAAATAACAAAGTGGTACCAAGTCATTAACGTTTTTGTAAATACAATGATTTCCCTGTCTAGAAAATGACCAAGACTGCATGTACTATTAAACATTTAAATAATAATATTGTGAAATACTATTACAATTCAAAATAGCTGTTTTCTGTTTTAACATATTTTCAAATGTTATTTATTCCTGTGATGGCAAACCAGAAGTCTCAACAGCCATTACTCCAGTCTTCAGTGTCACATGGTCCTCCAGAAAACATTCTAAAATGTTGATTTTGTGCTCAAGAAACATTTCTGATTATTATCAATGTTCAAACGGTTAATATTTTGATCTCTATGTTATAGGTGAATTTAAATTGCACATTCCAGACATGGATTTGGAGGGTGGAGTGGAGGTGCTCTTGTCTAATCCAGGCATGGTGGAGAAACTAGAGCAGTGTGTGATGAATTGGCACACACAAATCACAATTGTCATTGAAGAGCAGAAAAGAAAGAAACCACAGGTTTGTGAAATTTAGATGAACGAATCATGATGAAATTCTTCTTGTTATGTTGTTGTTATGTCTCTACTCAGTAGATCAGTGATGGGCAACCTAAACAGAACATTTAAACAATTGACTTATTGTTCTTTCTCTTCTAAAGGGACCCGGTCCTTTGGCAGAAATTGAGTTTTGGCGTGAACGTGTTGCTGTCTTCAGTAGTTTGAGTGAGCAGCTGAACCTGCAAGTGGTGAAGAAGATTCTGGACGTGATGACCCGTGCCGACTCATTCATAATGCAGGAACTGGAAAAGACCACGGCTGAGCTTAGCAAATACCATGAGGAGTCTGTCAATAATGTACAATTCCTCACCACAATGGAGAGACACTTCAGGGTGAGGAGTAACCATGGGTAGAGTTTAAAAGAAATATAAAGTTTATTTATAATACCAGTTGCTTCAAAGCAGCTTTACAGTAAAAAAATGTAGTCATCCCCATATCGAATCTATATGTTGTAATTCTTTTTCTTGTGGAAAAGATGTCAGCAGAGCAACAAGGCTAAACAAATACAGTGTTTCTCATCAGTGTTTTATTATTTACAGAACCTTGTCACAGGACTGGATTTCAAAGTGGTCTTGGACACTATTCCTGAACTGATGAACGGGCTGCGTATGATCTGGATATTATCCAGGCATTACAACACAGATGAGCGTTTGGAATCTCTGATGGAACGCATTGCCTGGGAACTGTCTGAACGGGTTGCAAGAGTCGTGAATGTCCGTGTTCTGTTTAAGTGAGTAAGCAAAATCTGTAAAAGTAGCTCAAACCACAAGCCAGCACCAACATACACAAAAATATGAAAATTTTGCAGGTAGCATTTGAGTTTGAAATTAATTCTGTTGGGGTAAAAATAAAAAATAAGGATTATACTTTTTATTAAATGTTTAATCAGTTAAGAATTTTCACACAAAAAATATGAATTGACAATGATTGTAATCACCACTTTCATTAATATTATGCAGAGACAAGAGGGTAGTGGCCAAAGCCAAGGCTCAGGATGGAAAGCAAGTCCTGGATCAGTGGAAGGCCAGTTATTTTGAGGTCCGTGCACGGATTGAGAAATCAGACCGAGATCCCCGCTGGGAATTTGATCGCAAAAAACTGTTTGAAAAAACAGACTATATGGCTTCAATCTGTCAAGACTTGTATAACATCTTGCAGGTAAGCCAAATCAGATCAAGCAGATTTAATTTAATACATTTCTATTTTATACAAAGAAATGTGTCCTGAAAAATATTCCTCACAGTCAGTAACCTTCTCCCAAATTAATAATGACTTATAGACTCTGGATGAGTTCTACATTATTTTTGGACCGGAGTTAAAAGCAGTGACGGGTGATCCAAAGCGAATAGATGAGGTTTTACACCGTGTAAACTGCCTCGTCGAACCCATTGAGGAAGTTTCCTTTGACCCTTTTGACATCCGCAAAATGAGCAGTTGGAAAATGGTCATGCAAGAATTTAGAACGGAAGTTCAGGTACAACTTTGTGACAACAACTACATTGTTAATTTATTTATTTTTTATATTTATGCTGTATTAATTGGTATCTATTGTTTAAGGCAATTGAAAGAGAAGCTATCAATTTCATCAATTACTCCTTCAAGACGCTGCGTTCCTCATCGGCAGCCTTTGACCTGCTGCTGAAATTTAAACACATCCGCTCCAGAGATGCCATCAACAATCAGTTGATGAAGAAGTTTAATGATATTCTTGCTCAGTACTGCAAAGAGGTACCTCAAGACCTTAAAACCTTTGAAGGACATGTTTGATTTAAATGTTGACATGGTGATACAGAGATTGCATTTCTTGCTATTCTCATGTGTCTTCTTTGGTATTGTTGTTGCCTAGATGGACCTTCTAAATGACCTATTCATGAAGCTCAAAGATAGTCCACCTCTCAATAAGAATAATCCTCCTGTGGCAGGAGCCATTATTTGGGAGCGTTTCCTGCTAGACCGCATGAGGTACCCCATTAGACGTTTCAAGGAGGCACGTGAGATGATGGACAGTGAAGAGGGCAAAGCAGTAAGTCCTTGTTTTGCTTAAAGTTTTTGTTACTAGAATGACAAGGTGAGTGTAAAAACAATTAAAAAGTTTAAATGTTAAAATCATATTATAGTTTGATATTTTTAGTCAGTTTTCACTGTAAAAATCTTGGAAGAGGTGCATCTTTAAATTCATTCCCTTTAAAGCACCACTGCTACAGCCGTGGACATTCAGATGGACGTCTTTGATCACTGCATAGTATCGTTTTTAAGTGTCCCACTAGTGTTGCATTTTCATATAAGATAGTTCAAGTTTTAAAACACACCTTAAGGCCCCTGCATTCTGTTCCAATTGTGTGACTTACTGTAAGAACAGTGTAGTTTTTATGTACTGTAAATGCCTCCTAAAAAGTCTGTCCAATCAGGGGCAGGTGATCCCAAAACCATCATCATTATTCAGGACTTAGTATTCAGGGTTACAACAACCCACGTTCAAGCAAATACATGATGGGTTTAATTTTGTAGTAAAATGTGTAGTTTTGCTCTCTATGCAACCCCAACCTGTATGAATGAAAATGTCCTGACTGTTTTTATTTTTCATTCTGCAGGTGGTATCCAAATTCTTAGAGGTGGCTATGCGTATGAGGGACTATGAAGTGGAGCTGTTTAACCAATGGAAAGCAGAGACTAATCAGACTCTGTCCCTCCTGATGAAGAGAAGTGTGCTGATCATGGTCAACAGTGCTGGGGCTGTCTGTGTAGACTCCACACAGCTCAATACAGTACGTTGCAGTGACAGGGAAAGCTATCTGTCAGCTGTGAGAAAAAGATGGCAGTGAAAATTTATAATGGCCATTACAATATTAAAATGCCTAGACAAGTAATCTCAGTGTCTATGATCCCCTCTGCCTCGAAGCTAACATGTACATAAAAACGTGCTTTGAAATGACATTAATGTTATTATGTGTGAATATGGCTGTGATTGCAGGCTGCTCAGGGGTCAGAGAAGGCTGTGGAAAAGGATGTGTGCTACTCTGTCAATTTTGCCCCTGAACTGCAGGAGATCATATCTGAGACCAAGTATCTGGATCACTTGGGCATCTTAACACCAAGTGAGGCACAAAATGTTGCTCTGCAGGAAGACAAGTTTCTGAGGTAGTCTCCCTAACTTTTCCCTGAAAATCAAAATAGACATCCCTGAAATATTTCTTGAAGTGTTTTGACCTTTTTTTTGTTTTGCATGCAGGCACATAAAAGGACTGAACAAGTTAGTAAACCGTTACCATTCTCTGATGGACAATCTAAATGATGCTGAGTTCTCACTAATGGCTGATCAGGTGCAGGAACTGAGGCGAGAGCTAAGCTTTGGGTGCAGAAGAGTCAACTGGAATTTTCTAGGTAAGTTACACAGGGGATACCAGTTATTTTTGCATAGCCCATAATAATGTTTGTAGTTGATAGTTTTTGTAGTTCTGAAAGTTCTAACTGATGTAATTTCCTAAAATGAACTTCATTTACACTTGTTTTACAGGTATACCACAATTCGTCCAACGTGGAAACCAGGCCACTTCAAAATTTGAGTCCCTTGTGAACCAAATTCAGAAGAATGAACGAGACATTGACGATAAACTTAAATCCATTGAATTGGCAAACCTTTTCAAATTTCCAATGGCAGATAAAAATGGATACCTACCAGGTTAAGAGTATTATATAGACATTCGAAATACAGCCCATAAGCAGACATATCAGGTACAAAGTGGCAATGTGTTATCTATCTGTTGTTCCAGGAATTAAGGAGTTCTGTGACTTCATTGAGTGTGAGAGGGCAAAAGCAATGAACCTTCTTGTAAATAAGTATGCAGCTATCAGTCCACTCCTCACCAAGATAGAGAGTCTGATTATGGGAACCAGCACTGGCAAATCCAAACGCATGGCTCAATTCTACGCTTATTGGGAGCACAAGATCTTTGATTCACTTCGCAAGATGGTGCTTCAGTAGGTTTACTTGACTGTTTCTCAGATGCATTTACATAGATGGTCTCATGCTCTTTTATGCTTACCATTACCATTGTCTTTCAGCAATATTCAAGCTTTTAACACCGCACTGATGGGCACTACTCCACTCTTCCAAATCGACACCATCCTAGCTGCACCTGAGATTGCTTTGCTTCCCAAGAGCAGTGAGGTGTACAAGCTCATTAGACAGTGTGTCGGTGACTGTGTGGAGAGCACCAGGGTATGTTGACAATGAACTACATTTAGAGAGAAAATGCAGCTCTGAGGGGATGATGTATTTTTACAGGCCCTCCCAGAAGTTATCAACACCCTGGTTCCCTCAACAAAAACCCAACAGGATTTTTCCGTTGGCTTTTGGATACTTCGAAGAAAATAAGCTCTATGTTCAACAAAAGATTAAGATTCTTACATGTTTTGTTCATCATGATAATCTTCACAAATGAACATTTTTTTAATTTTTGAAGCCTAAATTACAACAGAAGTAAACAGCTAAACTATATATGAACTACACTGTGATTGCAACATCACCACCACAAAGCTTCCAATAACTCTTTCGGCCTTTATAAAATAAAATAAAATAAAAACATTTTCTCTTAACAAACTTGAATTAGAATAGTTTCTAAAGCGTGATTATAAACACAGCAAGGCTGTGAAAGCAGACTAGTTAAATGAGTTTTCTTATTCAGTGTGATGAAGTTTAATGTCCCTGAAAACCTAGTAGTCCAATTTAGTAACTTGTTAGCGATCTTATTCAAGACAAGTAAAGGCTTTAAAAAATCATGAGGGTGTATTACTGCTGTATCTTATGTCATGGAATAAAAGGTGACAGTACATTGAGCTTGTGTTAACCTTTTTCAGGCATTAAACCCATTAAAAACCACAGTGACTTTGGGATGATGGAACTGAAAGTGCTTAAATAATAACTAATTTCTGTTTTTGGGCCTATAGAAATGCATCATCCCTGCAGCACTCCATACTCTGTTGTGCAATTAGAAAGCAAATATTTTCACATATGTAGTACAGATTTAGTGCAATGTAGATAATTGGTCACTCAGGTCACTTTTTTTCTTTAGCTGTTTGTTCGCTGGATGCATGGCAGTTGTATCCAATGCCCTCCACAGCATGTGGATGGTGAAGACAAACCATTCATCTTCACTTTTTACAGTGAAGTATGCCAGCTTCCACAGATAAATGAGCAAGCCACAGCCATCTCCCAGACAATGCAGCGTCTCCTTAATGGAATCAGTGCCTACCTCAAAACCTGGATGAGCTATCGCTCTCTCTGGAAACTCGACAAGGCTATTGTTATGGAGAAGTTTGCAGCCAAGAAGCCCTCATGTGTGATGTATGATGAGAAGTTTCAGTTTTATGTCAGGGTCAGCAATGAGGTGGCAAAGCAGCCCTTGGTGAAGCATGAACACATAATCAGACTGAACCTGGAGCCACTGGCCCGTGCCGTCCAGGAGAATGCTCAAGCATGGGTCACTTCTCTTGGCAGGCTGCTCAATGACTCGGCCCGAGAGGAGCTTTTCAACTTGCGCAATGAGCTGTTGGTGAGGACAAATGTTGCACTGTTTTAAATGTAACCTTTGCATCATCTAAGAATTGTGTAAGTGAAATGTTGAGATTGTGAGGCAGTCTGTTTTAAAAGAATGAATTTACTGTGAACAGATATTGTCAGATAATTTGAAGAGGAGCCCCAATAACTTGGAGGACCTGAAATTTGTTCTGGGCACAATTACAGACATTAGAGATATGTCTCTCTCAGTGGAGATGAGAATCAGTGATATTCAAGAGAGATACAGGACTCTGAGCATGTACAATGTGGAGGTGAGTAAACTTAAGCCTATCAGATGTAGTGCAACAGTCCATGTTTCCTTTAGGCCTACACCAATATTTTTTATGAAAGGTGATAAAATGTGCTTTTATTGATCCAATTTGTGCCAGTCAAGCCACTAAAATTAAAACTACCATTCAAAAAGAGTCAGTACAACTTTATTTTATTTTTGGAAGAAGTATCTTATGCTCACCAAGGCTACATTTATTTGATCAAAAATACAGAAAAACTGTAATTTTTTATGAAATATTCTTCCTTTTTTTTTTTTTTTAAATAACTGTTTTATATGTTAATATATTTTAAAATTCTATTTATTCTATGGCAAAGCTGAATTTTCAGCATCCATAACTCCAGTCTTCAGTGTCACATTATTTGTCAGAAATTATTATTACATGCTGATTTGGTGCTCAAGTAACATTTATTATTTTCAGTGTTGAAAACAGTTGTGCTGCTTAAAGTGCCCCTATTATGGGTTATGAAAGGTTCATATTTTGGTTTTGGGAGTCTCCAACAACAGGTTGACGAGCATGCAAGGTCAAAAAACACTTTCATTTTCTTATAATATGCATTTATTTTTATCTTATTTGCTGAACGACTCCCGAACGATTCGCTCAACGATTCAACCCCCTCCTTTGGTCCGATTGGTCGATTTAATTTCCATTTCATAAAGTGCAGTGCTGCTTTGTGTCGTTACCGGGGAAACAGTTATTTTTACTGCTCCAAAAGTGGCACCTAGTTGCAAAGAATTAATTAGCATTTTCATTCAAACCAACACGAAAATCAAGTTTTCCCAGGTCTGCGCGCGCAACAAGTGGGCGGGCAATATGCTAATGTTCCATGTTGACGTCAACATGAAACGGCTTGGGATTCGTTTTAAAAACTACTCGTTTAAATGATTCAGAGTCGACTCTTTCTTTTGAGAAACAATAACTTTATACACGGTGCACTTTCAGATTTAAAACTTTGCAGGATGTTTTCATTCACTTAGAGATGTGTTACACACTGCTTGATAGGTCATTTTCAAAAATCCATATAGGGGCACTTTAATATTTTTGTGGAAACCCTGATAACATTTTTTCAGGATTCTTTAATGAATAGACAGTTTAACAAAAAACATAATTTATTTGAAATAGAAAGCTTTTGACATTATGAATGTCGGTACTCTCCCTTTTATCTATTTAATGCATCATTGTCTAATAAAATTATAAATTTTATCTGCTTTACAATACAAGACTACAGAGGAGGAGGTCTCGTTTAAATGATTCAGAGTCGACTCTTTCTTTTGAGAGACTTAACTTTATACATGGTGCACTTTCAGATTTAAAACTTTGCAGGA